AGCGCCTGAGATAAAGGAAGTCATATTTTGATATGACATTATTATAACACAACTCAATTCAATTATGTTACAGATCTTTGAATTTGAAACGTTGATCGTTCGACGGTCCGCTCTCGACTCTTCGATTGTCTGTTGGTGACACTCTTCCGTGGCAACCCCTATCTTCCATTATTTTTTAAGGAGTTGTTCACAACAGGCCACTTTCACATTACAGCGACTTGATTTGGACAAGTCACGGCTCATTCTTATAGCTGCCGATTGTCAACAATTATAAAAACGAGGCGCGAGGCTCGAATAATCGTACTCCCTCTTCCCAAATTGTCCATTTTCGTTTATAAACTAAAGGATAAATTAACCCTTAGTGCTTCGCGCGTTTCTCGAGTATTGCCTACCAGCAACTCCGGCACATTTTTCGAGCGGAGCGCCTGAGATAAAGGAAGTCTTATTTTCAGCGGGAAAGATTACGCGCCTTTGTGAATACATTTGATATTTTATTTATTTTATAAATATACATTTTCCTATTGTAAATAAAAGATAAATGTTAAATTTTGTAATTCACCATGGTGCGATATCTTTGGTAACAATCTCCCATGTGCATTCTGGGTTTACTTGGACAAGTGTCACAGTATTCACTTTGCCAAATAGAGTTACTAGATATTTCTTTCGAGTTTAGAACATTTACCGTGTAATCGTTGGTTTCCTTTATAATTTCATTTACCAATTCGTCCGTGAAAAATAATTTAAAATATTGTATCGGCTGTTCAATGTTTGTAGAAACTTGTGGTCCAACGACCTGTGGCAATACACTAAAAGGTATTCTATCTGGAATATGTAATCCTTCCGTAACATCACGCCATTCATCCAAGTCTTGTAACGAATCTTCGCTTTCACTTCCAATAATTCTCATTCTTCGTCGCTTTGGTAGTATAATTTCGCTACTACTACTCGAAGTGTCAGAATCATAACCAACATTGGCTTCCACAATGTCTTTTAACTCTTCAAAATCAAATACGTCTTCGGTATCACTCGGCTCTAAATTCTCATCGTAATATTTATTTTTCTCCATGTTGCTATCCATAGAAAAGGTCAAAAAATAGTTGAATCGTAATGGTACAGACTTATAGCACGTTTTAACTACAGATAACAATTGCTAACGCCGACGATAATGTACGCAAAAAACATTTGGTTCCGCAGCGGAGCCTTCGGAGCGCTAAGGGTTAATAACTTGAATAAGTTGCGAAGGATGAAACGATACATATATTCGGCGTGTCTATGTCTGTCATAAATGCATAAAGATCCGCAGTATATTTGCGACGAGATGGCGGTAAATATGCAATCGATGCGGAACATTCTGCGTTGAAGATCTGCGATCTTGCGCCAGCGGCAGTCTACAAGCAGTTCCGCGCCGATGTCGGTTTCAATATGCAACACAATGTTTAAATGAACATTACAAGTGCTTAGAATTCGATCGACTCTGACTCTCCAGTTTTTCGAACGGTGTACGAGATTGCTCGCGATTATTGTGAAATTAAAAAGAAAAAAGAGAACGAACCTGCTAAGAAATACAAGCTGTTGCATTAAGTGTTCTTAATGAACCATGGAAACCGCTATAGCGCATTACTAACGAAAGAATTCTGATTGTTTCGGTCGGTTAGCCTCTGTAGCGGAGAATGCGTGTAAATCAGCTTGCAGAAGATTCATTGGGAAAAGAAACGCGGGACCGATTGTGGCGGAGGAATTTTTTGGGAAGACCGTCGAAGTCAGGCTCGCATGAATGAAACCGAGAATCCTGACGCGGCCAGTTAACCGGTCGACGAAGCCGGTATTGTTCGAATAATACGCAACGTACTTGAACCGATAATTACGCGCGGCATAGTTCAATGCTGCGCGATTCAAGGGCGAAGAGAAAGGCTGTTTAGTCGGAGGTTTGCGATCCGCGTGAACTTGGGATCCATGGCGACCGAGGACCTTGACACCGACGACTCGCTAAACACCTTCCGATCCTAGCCAAGTCCACCAGGAATCCACAACGGAACGGTGTAATATTGCGTCAGGAATTACTCCCCGGCAATTAGCGATATGAGAAAATCCTTTGCGAGGAGATTGCGCGATCGAGTTTCTATCGCGGGCTGGGTCCCGCGGTATTCATGCCGGCCTATCCGTTCGATTTTAGTGTTGTAAATAACCATAGACTAGAACGGCTCTCGCTATTGACGTGTTAATTAGCCGGCCTTCCCACAGCCGTAATTAACGACGGATAAAAACAAGCGAGTTTGCCAATTACACGCGCCAATGGGATGATATTCGCGCTGATAGAGACATTATTATACAATTAACCGTTCTTTTTCGCTGGCCCGATATCGAGGCGTCCAAGCCTCGATGCCTGATCAAAATCTGACCATAATTTTCGACGGTTTTTGTAATTGATCCTCGTTTTTTCCAAATAATGCGTCCGTCGCGTGTCGAATCGACGCTATCGTAAAAAATCGTGAAATAAGATATAACAATATTTATTGCGCAAAAAAAGAATCTCTTATTATTCTATACTTCTTTTGTGCAATAAATATTGTTATATCCTTTTTCATTACTAATAATTAAACCGCAGATCTTACGGTTTTATATAAAGCTTTTTTATAAAAGCTATTTTTAGATAAAAATAGCTAGGCGACAGTGTAAACGAAAATATTTTTAAAAATTTCCAGGGCCTGTGCGTATTATTTTCAACTCACTGAAATTGTTAAAGGAAGAAGGTGATTTCTAATTGGCTTAGATCTGCTGAAATCGATGAAAATAATTTGTCGTAAAGCTACAAATAAAGACGGAGATCAATTTTCCCAAAAACAGCGGAATATGTACTCCGAAACATAAAAATCGTGTCAAATCGACATCGGAATCGGACGAGGGTTAAAAATGTGTACCGAACATCTCTTCGACCTCTCGGAAATAATTCGATTCCGACAATTGTGATCCAAAGGAGATCGCCGGAAAGATTGCAGGATTAATACGATCTGAATGAAATCAGTCGACATCCAATTGCGGAAAATAACGTGTCGGCAATTCGACGGTAACACGGGTACAGCTGGAAAAATGGAGATGAAACCACGGGCGGGTAGAGAATCTCCGTGAAGGAACGGCTCCGAAATGTGAAATATAATTTTTCCGTGCGTCGCCTCGTGTCCGGGATAATTAAATTCGAAGATTCGCCTCACGCGTGCCGGCGAAACGGGCGTGTCTCTGCATAACAGACCCGTTTCCACTACTGGGCGCTAAAGCCCGCCCAACTCGATTAGTTCGGAGCCGGGGAGCCCTGTCGCAGAAACTTTCGTCCGGACTTTACTTTTTCACGTAGAATCACTCCCCTCACGGGCCGAGAGATATCTCTTAACCTTTTAGGTACGGCTGAATTCTGCGCGAGGCTATTTCTCTGAACGGCAGAGTCTGATATGTACTATACAAAGTCTGATACTGTATATTCTGTCTGTATATCGTTAAGACTGTTGTAAATCGATGCGAAGACCAAAGAAATGTGAAACAATGCATAGGAAGATGATTATTTAATTCAAACGGAGAGCGAGAGAGCTACTCTAGAGTGAGACACTACAGGGTGTCCCAAAAATGTCTCGCAAGACGAACGTGGTGTGTTCCTTAGATCATTTGAAGCAACTTCTTCCTTTACAAAAATGTTCTCCGAGGCACCGTTAACGAGTTATTAACGAAAAACACTGACCAATAAGAACCGAGTACGGCTGACGCGAGGCGGCCCAGCCAACCAGCGCGCGAAGCCCAGTTCCGCTCATTGGCTCGGTCGCCTCGCGCCAGTTGAGTTGGGATTCGACCGCCTCGACCGCTGGCGCCGTTGGCTCGGCCGCCTCGCGCCAGACTGAGCTGGAATTCGACCGCTCGACCGCTGGCGCCGTCGGCTCGCGCCCGCTGAGCTGGAATTCGACCGCTCGACCGCTGGCGCCGTTGACTCGGCCACTTCGCGGCAGCTGATCTCGCCTCTCATTGGTCACTATTTTTCGTTAATAACTCGTTAACGGTGCCTCGGAGAAAATTTTTGTAAAGGAAGATGTTGCTTCAAATGATCCGAGGAACCCGCCATTTCCGGATTGCGAGACATTTTTGGGACACCCTGTAGACTGTTGTAAATCGATGCGAAGACAAAAGAAATGTGAAACAATGCACATGAAGACGATTATTTGATTCAAACGATGAGCGAGTGAGCTACTAGAGCAAGCCACTATAGTGGCGCATCGTTCAGAGAGATGACATCCGCGAAAGCCACTATAGTGGTGTGTTGTTCTGAAAGCTGACATCCGCGGAAGCCACTATATAGTGGCGCGTCGTACCTAAAAGGTTAAAGCTATATTCTCCAACGAATCTCGAGTGGAAGCTCGAACCTCTCTAACCAGTCGACGCAAAGAAGAATCGAAGGTTCTCGCAAGTGAACGAGACCGGTAACTGTGCGATTAGGTTCGCCGAGAAGACCAAGGTATGTGTGTGTCTATCTTTCGTTCGCCGTGGGAGCCGGTTAAATCGAGTCCGTGCGGACTCTAACACTTCGAAATAGAACAGAGAAGAGGTATACATATCGAGAGGCGAACAAGGATCGTGCTTTGATTCTCTGTCAAGCGGAGGAAAATAAAGCGATCTGGAGCACTCACGATTTAATTACGAGGCCTCAACTCATAGTAAAAGCCGGCTCCACGAGGCTCCATCACACCTGAAACAGAGAAACACGCAGTCCCATTAATATTTCGCCGTCGAATGGTCCCCGCGAGTTCCTCTATCGGCGTTCCGGGCTATTAGGATGCAAACACGCGCGGCATTAGGAGATCTCAGTCGCATTTCCATAGAAACTGGCCTGTTCTCCACTCGTTTGTCACGCGATCCGTCGATCATTCGTTTCACTCCCCGAGTGCCCTCCGATACGCGAGGCAGAAAGAAAAGTCGCGTGTGTCATTTTTCACGGGGTAATTAAAAAGTATTCGACGTCGCGAATCCCCGGCGATATTCCATTCACCGGGCCGGTGATATGAATGAACGAAGCAGCCCACACTCGGTGTGCAGCTATTTAAATCGAACCAGCTATTATGGCTCGTGGCAATTAGCATCATTCATATTCATAGAGCACCCAGTTCGCAAGGAATTACGGTGCTACCGTAGCGATAGATGTGTGTACACGGCGGTGATACACGCGTGAATGGTAAATATTTAATTTCACCTCATTCGGAAGTTCTTGGAATAATGCCGCGAACTGCGGCGCGGGGAGGATCGGTCTCGCAATCGCGGTGCACCGAATGCAATTGCATTCTGCGGTCTAACCTGGCGAGCTTGATCCCTCTTTAAGGGTGGACGATCACGTTTATATATAGACAATTTCTGATGCTTTCGCTCTGTAATAGCGAAATACATCGATGCCTGAATATCGATGATTTCCTCTTTCGATTTCCTGTAATAAAGCGTCAGCGCCAGGTTCAGCATTTTTGTGCGAGTCTTTCTTTAATGGTTTTAATACTTTTATTTATTCACACTTCTGTTCGGTCGAAAACTGTTTTCTTCGTTAGCTACGATCGATGCAGCATTCTTTTTAAAATATGCTTTCGAAAGAACGTGCCGTTTAAAGCAAAAATGGTTCAAATCAATTTATTGTTAGGTTGATATAATATTATCAAATTTTATTTTATTTTTTATGATCTATTTTATTTTATCATTTAAGTTATTAATTTTCTAACTTATCATAATAAGTTATTTATTTCATTTTATGAATTAAGTTATTAATTTTCTAACTTATCATAATAAGTTGTTTATATTTCATTTTATGATTTAAGTTATTAAATTTCTAACTTATCATAATAAGTTGTTTATTTTATTTTATGATTTAAGTTATTAATTTTCTAACTTATCATAATAAGTTATTTATTTTATTTTATGATTTAAGTTATTAACTTTGTAACTTATCATAATAAGTTATTCATTTCATTTTACGATTTAATATTATTAAATATTCAATTTAGCATTTTATTCGATTTTCATTAATTATTTCAAGCTCGAGCTTGAAAGTGGCTGACATAAAAAGGTCGTAACAATGTTCGATGTCGTTGCAATTTGCAGAACTTACAATTCATCCATCCTCGCCGACAAATTGACTTCTTGGAACCATATTTGCGAGAAGAACCGTGTGTTCACAGAGTTGCGAGACTCCGGGGACACACTTCGCGAAAATATTTACGTTTTAGGCGAAGAGAGCCTCGCTCGAAGCGTACAAAAATTTCGCGATGCTTCATCGAACGTCTGTGATACTGTTTTGCCGTCGCGTTTCGCGGAGCCCGTCGAGCTATAAACTCATAAACATCCGCAGTCCAGCAATCAGTATCTGATCGACAGCTGCGTTTTTTGCGGATATTATACTTCGAAGCGCCTCCGGTCGTAAGTTATTACTTTTTAGCATGCCAACTGTAGTACCAACATCCACCACCAGCTCGCTTTCCTCAGTAATTAAACTTTTTTCTAGGCGATATCCGAAGGAACGTTAACCCTAGAAAGATAACCATATGACAACGTACGTAAAAGATAACCATACGCTTCAGAGGCGCATGCTTTTCTAAGGCGTCAATTTTATACTAACAATGGATATTTATTTAAGTTAATCTAGTCATTTTAAAGGTTTGGCATTATTGTAAAAATAAAATGCATTTATATTATATTTTTTTATATTTTAAGTAATTTTAAACTTAAATCACTAGACCTCTATGAAAAATTAACAAAAATCAACAGTCTTC